GTGGAGAGAAGTGAAGATGTGTAAATTGTTACTTACGAGGAAGCGACACATGGCCGGTGATTTCCTTGTTTGGCGCAATCGGAGTGTTGTTGTAGGGCATGGTGAAGGAAGATGTTGTCGCTCTGGTGAAATGGGCGCTGGATCGATAAGTTCTCCCAGCGTGCTGTTTGTGGCTAGTTGCGTGTCCAAAATATGAATAGCAAAGTATAAGTGTGGGTAGTCCGAATTAACACGTCCTAGTCGCGCAAATTGGCCAAGAGAGATGTGTAGTCGCGTGCAGTAGTCGTGTTGAAGATGTCGTGTACCCTGGTCGATACTGGGCGATCGCCGCGGGCTGCTCCAGCCGAGGAGGGCGTCATTAGGCTGCTCCTCTTCGTCAGCAACCAGCCATCTTATCTTCCTGCTGCCTGCGTGATCCTCAGACGATAAATACGTGTGTGTGATATCTTCACCCGGTATTGACCTCATTGATTGTGTTCCGGTGTTTTCATCTCGTCTCGAGCACCAACTATCAGCCCATCAGGGTACACCTGCCAATCATGAAGCTCTTCGTTACTAGTCTGCTCGCCGCGACTGCAACGGCGTCCTTGTTCTCCCAAATTCCATTCCAGGAGAAGCCAGAAGTGGAAGGCTTCCAGGTCTACCAAAGTCCATTCTCCGAGCACCATTCGATTCGCATAAAGCATCAGCAGAGCGACACTATCTGTGACGCGCGCTCCAAGCAATACACCGGCTGGTTAGACATCGGCTCAAAGCACATCTTCTTCTGGTACTTCGAATCACAAGACAAGCCCTCCGAAGATCCGCTCCTGCTATGGCTAACAGGAGGACCGGGTGGCTCAGGCATGCTTGGGCTGATGGGCGAACTGGGACCTTGCACGATCAATGAGTTTGGCAACGGTACCGTACACAACGAATACGGATGGAGCAAGAATGCCAACATCATCTTTGTTGATCAGCCCGCTGGTGTGGGTTTCAGCTACGTCGATGAGGGCATCCCGCTTCCTGCGACAAGCTTCACGGCTGCTGAGGATATGCATCACTTCTTGCAGCTGTTCACGAGCGAAGTCTTCCCGGATCTTTTGAATCGCGACTTTCATATCACAGGAGAAAGTTATGCTGTAAGCACATGTTGCTAACCCGGCAAGACACTCACTAATCGAAGATAGGGCCACTACGTTCCAACACTCGGCGCAGAAATTGTCACGAAGAACCTTGAATATCCTAAGCGTCCGCAAGTCAATCTCAAGTCGACCTTCACGGGCAACGCTTTTGTCTCACCTCGGGACACCAACTTTGGTTTCTGGGAAACGCTGTGCACTACGAACCCCGGTGTGGAGACTCCCGTATTCAACCAGACCCGTTGCGACATCATAGCTACCAACCTCCCTCGCTGTATGGCACTTATCGACGTGTGCTACAAGAACCCTGATCCAGCCATCTGTCTCGCAGCCGACAACGTATGCATGGAAGGCGTTGTGCTCCTTTACGACGGAGAGTCTGGAGCAGGAGGTCGCAACCGATTTGACATCACGGACGGGTGCGAGACGAAAGACGAGTTCTGCTACCCAGAGATCCAAAGGATTCAAGACTACATGAACGTGCCGAAGGTTTGGGAAGCGCTTGGCGTACCCAAAGCTATAGCCAACTACACAGGGTTCTCTTTTGATATTGCGTTGGCTTTTGAGCTTACTGGGGATCTGGTATTCAGCATGCAGCCTCAGGTTTTGTATCTGCTTGAGCATGGCATCGATGTGCTCTTCTATCAGGGTAATTTGGACCTTGCTTGCAACACCGCAGGGAACTTGCAGTGGGCTAGCACGATGCAATGGAAAGGCCAACCTGCTTTTGTCGCACAGCCAAAGAGGTCCTGGGAACATGAGGGCAAGGAGGTGGGGTGGTTTAAAGAAGTCAAGACCGTGACTACAAGCGGGAGAATGACCACGTTTGCGTTCGCTACGGTGAATGGAGCAGGCCATCTGGTACCGATGGACAAGCCGAAGGAAGCGCTGGCGCTTGTTGATAGATGGATCACAAAGAGGAGCTACGCGTAATTGTCGCGTGATGGATACATATTGTGTTCTGCGCAAGGCCGCACTTAGCCCAGCAAAGGATTCCGCGATCGCAATATCTAGGCATGCAATTTTCGTCAGCCCCAGTACCACATCGGCTTCATGCATGTCATCAGGCTTCTTGCGTTTGGCGCCCGAAATATCCATGGGTTGGTGTTTGTTTTCCCCACCATGATGTAATTGCTACCAGCTACGTCATCATGGGTCCTAGCCTCTGCGCAAACTTCAGACCCTTAATAAAGAGGGGAGAAGACTCACTCACCCAACAACAAACACAATCAATTGCCACTTCTCACTTCAAACTACACTTTGCAAACCTTCCACTTCTTCCCACTTCCACCAACACACACAAACAACATGTCTGGAACTTCCAACGTCGGTAACAGTGCGGTCTACGAGGCCCAGGACCAGGTCACCAGGTCCAACGCCGAGATCGAGCAGGAGAAGAAGGAGGCCCGCTTCCACGAGGGCAAGGAGCACTCTCACAAGGCCCAGGACTCCAGTATGTTTCTCTCGGCCTCGCGTGCATTTTCCTCTGTCGATATGCCGCGTCATCAGCCATCTCTTTACAAGACCGATCACTAACAATCACCCGCAGAGGACGAGCGATCCATCGCCAACAAGCTCGAGCGCGAGGAGAAGCGTGAGAAGGAGGGTGAGGAGAAGTCTCTCGAGGACCGCCAGCGCGAGCAAGATGCCACCCTTCCCGCACGCGCACACGGCAACGAGCCCTCCAAGGGAGCCAAGATCGACCAGGAGCTGAGGGAAGAGGACGAGGCTATGCTCAAGAAGAAGGGCGCCAACTAAAGTCGTTGTGATGAATGACGATTTCGATACCCCGCACACATACTCAGCGTGTTAGGAGTTGGAGGAGGAAAATAATGACTTGGATTGACGATAAAACGTCTCCATGAAGCCCGCCTGAGACATGGCAAAGGCATGAATCAAATAATTTCAACTCAACATGTATTGCCGACCGTATGTGACTGTGAGATGGTTGAAGCCAGGTCCTCGTGCCTTGACGCGAGAGCTCTCCACATTGTCGTGCTTACCCCTCGGTGCCTGACTCGTGCAGCCTCGGAGATACGCCGATGGCGACCTCCTAACCGCTGCCTTCTGTCTCCAAATCCCCAATCGCCTCCCCCACGTCCTGCAAACATCAATCGCTGCATTACAAAGCATTGCGGCGTACATGCCTAATCTCTCGTCATCGCGCCAATTTCTCCGCACTGCTACTGCCTTCGCCAAAGCTCCCTTACGGCCCCGCCTCGCACCTACAAGCACCCAGCTATCGAACATCCTCCAACAACATACCGCAAACATGTCGACAAAGATGGCAGAGCGCCTAAAGGGCAAGACTATCGTCATCACCGGTGCTTCTTCTGGCATTGGCAAGTCCACAGCAATCGAATTCGCCCGGACACAGCCCGACGACCTCAAGCTTATCCTCACTGCGCGGCGAGAAGACACATTGAAAGAGGTCGCACAGGAGATTCAAGGCTTTTCAAGAGGCGTCAAGGTTCTACCAGTCAAACTTGACGTCAGCAAGCCGGACGAAGTCCAGAACTTTGTCGGAAACCTGCCACAAGAGTACAAGGACATTGATGTGCTCGTCAACAACGCGTATGCCACCGCCTCCTCGGATATCTCTTACCGTTTGCTAACATCCAACCCAGCGGCCTTGTAAAAGGTGTTGCGCAAGCTCCCGACATCTCGCCCGCCGATATCGACACCATGTTCAGTACAAACGTAACCGGCTTAATCAACATGACGCAAGCCATCCTACCCATCTTTAGAGCGCGATCCACACCCTCCGGCGACATTATAAACATTGGTAGTATCGCAGGTCGCGAGCCCTACCAAGGCGGATCCATCTACTGCGCTACGAAGGCTGCCGTGCGCTCCTTCACAGATGCCATGCGCAAGGAGCTTATCGCTACACGGATACGCGTCATCGAGATTGACCCTGGACAAGTTGAGACGGAATTCAGTGTAGTCAGGTTTGGAGGCGACAAAGAGAAGGCGAAGAAGGTCTACGAGGGCGTTGAACCGCTGACACCGGAGGACATCGCGGAGGTTGTGGTATTCGCTGCGGGACGGAGGGAGAATGTGGTGTTGGCTGATAGTCTGATCTTCCCGAACCACCAGGTATGTGCAACCGGAGGAACGAGACATAGTACACTAACGTTGTATAGGCGGCAGCGACAGTCATGCACCGGAAACCTACCGGTCAGTAGATGCGGCGATCGATGTGTACATAGCGACTACTTATCCGCAGTTCAGAGACGAAGCAAATATCCAGAATTCGACCTTCGTTATGAAAGACCTGTTTGCTGGCCACGACCTACCTCATGTTTCATGCTTGCGACTCCATCTGTTCCCTTCTCCTCACAATGTCTCTCCCTTCTTAATTCTTGTCTCCACATTCACGCGGACTGTCTTCGGAACAGGTGAAAGATGAAAATATGGCCTGCGCCCCGCCCCGCCGTTGCTGTGGTGAGCGCTGGCAAAAGAGAGACCCGCTTCTGGATAACTCAAACGCTCACACAGCTTTTGTACACACCGACCCCAGTTGTACCCCACTATAGTGGTGAGCGACCACGCCTTTCGTCCCACATCATATCGACACTCAACTCAAGTAGCTGGCCACCATGCAAGCCGCGCGCGTTTGAGCGCCGGGTTTTCTACCACCACGGACGGAAGCACAGCGGTCAACCGACAGGCAACATGGCGCGACTACGAGTTCCCGCATCGCCAGTTGAAACTCGACGCGCGAATTATGCCTATGAAGGAGCCGGAAACAAGACGCCCAGCCAACTCAATCATTCAGGCCCACAGCCTGAGATCAATGTAGCCTTCGATTCGTCTGCCAATGATCCCTCTGAACATCCCACTTCCTTTCCGCGCATTGTAAGGAGCTTCGCGTTAATGGACGTGAAAACAAAGCGAGATGTACAAGGTTACATTGTCGGACAGTACAAGGCCATTAAGCAGATGGGCCACGAGCACATCACCGCGACTGGCACCAAAACTGTCTTTTTTCTTGGTCAAGTACAACAAGAGGAAGAGTTCGACATATTAGACGAGAATATGAAGACCGACCTGGGCGAGTACATCAACGAGGATGAGGATGCGGATCGCTCATGGCGTGGGGTTTGCGATTTCATGCAGAAGATTCCGACCTCCAAAGCTGTGGCGCCGACAGAATTTGAGGATGGGAACATTTTGGATACTGAGACACCTCATCAAGCCCGCTTGATGCGCGCCCAGAGTGCGCCCTCTCTGGCTCGATGTATCGCGAATGCTAGCTTTGACAGCGCCGGATCAGAGACAGACTCTGACTCAGAAGACGACGACATGGATCTTGAACTGAAGATCGAGAACGCACTCTCGTCATTTGCTAGAAAGGTCGAGGAATTAGAGGATGTAGCAGGAGCGCTGTCAATCACGCCACCCGGCCGCACATGTTGTGATGCCCGCTCATCTACGCTATCGCCTCCTAAGGACATCGACATACCGTACCCCTGCGGACCAAAGCATAACTCTCGAATTCGTCGTCATAACGGCGACCGTTCACTTGCATCACTGATCGCTCACACTGAAGACCGCCGTACGCCTTCGTGCTCGTCACCTTCTGCTTCGCGTTCTTCGTGCCCACTACCTACCGGTACCACCTATAGCGTCGTCCGCAAGCCCTGCTACGACCCAATACTTGAGGGTCACAGCCCTTGCGCCACGCATGATGATGGAAGCTGCGGACTTTCAGCGGATGACGCTCTAGGCATGCTACAAGAGCGCTTTAGGACTGCACATTGCGCTGGTCATGGCACAGGCTTTCATTGTCGCGAATGGCTGGAATACAAGCTTGAGACCGGATGCAGCAGGGTATATGGCCCTTCACTGCTACGATTTGGGACGGACTGCTACAAAGCTGAAAAGCCCGGGCAGATCAAGGATGCGGATGATATCCCGTACCCTAACCAACCCGAAGCCACAGCTCGGATCCGCACTTCGTCATCTAAGGACACCCTGAATACCAACTCATCCGTCCGAAATTCAGTGTTCTCAAAATGCACTTCCACGACATCCATTTCATCTTACCGGACCAGCCGTCCACAGTCTGCACGAACTGAACATTCTCGGCTTATGAACGCACTTAGCCCTGACAACGATACTGGAAAGTGCGGACATGGCTATGAAATCTCTGCGACGACAGAGCGCAGTTCTTCTGTCGCAGGCTTTGTTCCAAAAAGCGAAAACTTTCAAGGTTGTGCAGGTGGCACTGTGTGGGGTGGGAAGGGCGCACTCAGTCCACCTATTACCACTACCAAAGAATGGTCTAGTGGGCTGCAGATGTGGGGGGATGAAAGCTGGCCCAACGCACCCGAGCGCAATGGAAACGACTTTGAAGACGCCCAGAACTCTATCACGAGGAATGAATCCGAGAACTGCGACGTAGAAGAGCTCTCACAGCTACGTGCGTCGCTAACGGAAACTACGGACAATGACAAACCCATGCGGCCTGAAGTTATCGCCAACCGCCCGTATGCGGCTCCTCTTATATACGAGGAAGCCGCCGATTTTATTGAACATGTCGCCACTAATCCGGATGTTCATTCCGAATGCTGGTCAGAACCCTTGGATGGTTGCGCGAAACCGCGCCGCAAGTGGACTAGCAAGATGAAGCATTGCTTCAAGAAAATATCCCAAAACACAAAGCAGGCTACCCACAACTATGTCAAAGCGACGAAACGATTCTCACGGACTGCTTGGCGCGTGTTGCCAGCTGCGCTGTCGAGCCGACATCCGTTCCAGAAGATCGACAGCATCCTCTAGATGGTCGGCTGGGGAACTGGATCTGCGTCGGAACTCTTTAGGTGATCCGACTGGTCTCACGGACCGTTCACGCTGCCTCCGCAATCCACCCGGAATGATGGTTCGGCGAGCGTTTGGGCCCACTTCAGACCGAACATATGTTGGGGACATGGTAGATGCGTTGCCAGGGCCTGGTTCTATTCTCCTATGGTACTTAGGACCCCTTTTTATTAGCTCTATTACCTAACTAGGCTGCTGCCTAGCGGCCTAGGATTATATAATAGCAAAATCTCTGCTTATTATTTATTATTAATCCTATACAATGTTAGAGCTAAGCTACAAAGTAAGAGAGGTGCATTTCTGCAGATCTAACAAAGCTAACTATAAATAGAAAGAAACCTGTATCTACTATAATACTACTACGCCTAATGCATTATTAAATACCTACTACCTTAACTACACTACTACGAAAGTTGCCTTAAAAACCTTTTAGTGCACCCGCACTATAGCTAAATAGCAACTAGTGCGACTACGTGCTCTTACTGCTACTAACGCATTCTTACTAACGCTAGCTATTCCTCTTGCTAAAGTAAAATCTTATTTATTTAGTCTTTGTAGAGAGGATTTAGATATACAAAGAGAGGAGTAGGAATCTAGGAGAGTAAAAGAGATATTAGAGGAGCTAGGAGTACACGTCTAACAGGTCCTAGCGTCCGCATTTGCCTAAGATTGGAATTGATTGGAAAGCCCCTGTGAAACGCTTTTCATTGGACGACACAGACATATTTTGTAGAGCATCTTTGCTTTTACTTGAATTCTCTTTTGGCGCGCTATGAAACCTCGATTCTAGATACCCACCTGCATGCATCAGTAGCATTTCCTGTATGAATATAAGCCCTGCCATGTGCCCTCATTGCACTTCAAGCATTTTGTGTGAATTCCAAAGTGTGGTCGTGAATGACTAAGTCCACGAGGAGTGAACCCTGGTTTGATCAAGGGTCATCCACTGTCGCGACGTCACCACACAACGTTCTCACTTGCCAAAATGTCTTCGGTCTCTCATTTTTTGCACATTTCACTACTTAGCCCGCTCGTCGTTTCCCTCTTTACGAACGACTGCGCATCGACCACCACCACCGCGGACATTTCCAACGCCAAGAGTGTAGAATAGTGGACTCTCACCATCGCGCACCCACGAACGAATTTACAACTCTCTGGTTTACGTCACTATTTCCATCACATTATCGCGTAGTTTCAACAGCACTGCGAACTCGCTGGCCATCACTGAACTCGATACGACGACGATCTCCAACCCTTTGGTTACCACTTACGATCACCAAACCAAAACAGTCACACAAGTAATCATGGCTTCCGACACAGTCGCTAGTGTCAACCAGAAATTCAACTGGGCCGACGACGACGACGACGAATTTGACTTGGATAGCTGGAATGCTACCGCCGACACCTCCGCGCCCACTGCAGCCGAGCTAGGCCCTCTCCAGGTCACTCCCACTGGAGATGACACGAAGGAAGGCGAAGTCTACACGCTGTCCCGCATCTCCAACGAGCGCGCCTATTGGGATCCTCCCGCCAAACAGGAGTCGTCAGACGCGGAGCCTACCCAGGAGGCTGAGCCAGAGCCAGTTGCTGAGCCGCCAGCTGAGCACTGGCATATCGCCGTACTTGGCTGCAGTCCAGAACATCAGGTCATGTCTGCGCGGTACATTCTTATCACGCACGCTGTTGGTCCTTCTTATGAAGGTAAAGAAGAGTCCGACGCCCCAGCCTATCCAGAATTGAGCGAAAACCCGTGCCACCGGTCTTACTATGCGAGAGGGTTCCGGGACTGGAAGATGAAACATAGAGGTTTCTCGTCTAGAAGGGTCTATCGTAATTCACCCTTGAACATCGTCACTTCCATCGACAATGCGCACGAGATCGATGACATTGCCGACCCCGAAGAAGGGGCGGTAGAAGACGCCGATCGCGAGATGAACGAGGAGATTGATCGCATGATTGATGATCAAATTACCAACCACATTGATCAGTTCCAGTGGTTCTCCAGGACAGAGCTTGAGAACTTTTACCACCAGTTCAAGGCTCAGGAGCAGAAAGCCGAGACGGGAGACAACGTGTCAGATGATGATGATAGCGATTCGGACGACGGCTGGGATGAAGAGGCTTACGAGCCATACATCGGTCCTGTTCACGACGAAGAGATGTCGCCTACAACCACTGCATCAGTGGAGGACGACGAAACGATGTTCACAGTTACCCGCCCATTCGCCGCCGCAGAAAAAGAAGAGGAGCTGGACTTCAACGACGTCGTATTTGGAGACGACGACAGGTGTGATCAGTCGCAGAGTCAGGATGAAACCGACTCTGAGCCTAGCGATGAGGGCTACGTTTCCTCTTCACCACCAGACACTCCCTTTTTTGAAACCTTCAATAAAGCGGACAGTGTAGGCGCGCAAAACGCCTTCGATTCAATCAATGCGCGACTAAGCACGTCATCCAGGCGCCGCAAGACGATTTGTCGGACGGAATCCATGGACGCGCTCAAGACATTTAGACAAACTGCCAAGTTTGAGCAACGTGTCGACGACGCTTTTGAGGACGATGAGGACGACGGGGATTTTGGAGATCTACAAGATAACTTCGGCATCGATGCTGAGCTAAAGACATCATCGGATACTTTGGTAAACACAGAGTTTGTCCTCGTCGTTACACCACCTGAGGATGAGCAAAGCACGGAAGACTATCTTTCCAGCCCTGCGACGCCTTTAACTTCAACAAAAGCCACTGTGTCCGATTTGATTGAAGCGGATGAACAAGTCGTTTCTGTCAAAGACGAATCACGCGGTACCCTCGATTCAGCCTTCACTTTCCCTAGCATACCCGCTGGTGAAGCCTCCCTCCCAAAAGCAGAGATTTGTACCGCAGACATAGTAATCGACACTTCCAAAGCCTCCTCCCGGCGCTGGACCGACCCTCCAAAATACGACCCCACCCTTCCTTCAGTTTCGCCATTGTCCAGTCGTCGGCATACGAAGCATGCAAAGCATAGCTCTGTCTCACTGGACTATGTTGTCGGCGCCGTCTCAAAGAGCTGGCTCTACGTGGCCCAAGTGCCCTGGACGCAGATTGGTATAATGGGCGCTGGAGTAGTCGCCGGTGGATTATTGAGTATGGCGGGGCGTAACTGAGCGAGCCCGCTCTTCCTTTCTGTTTGTTCTTTTCTTAAAATTTGGCTGCAAAGTTAGCGGAGGCGAAGTTATGCTGGCATTGCTGGTGGCGTTATATACCCGGTGTGTTGTTTACCCACACAAAATATGTGTCTCAAAAAGTATAAAAGTTAAACATTAATCAAGAAATGTCATCCCTATACTACGAATGTACCGAAACGTGTGACCGCTACGACGATGTCACTATATGCAAGTACCAATGATAAAGTAGAAGTTCACTACTCAAGTCACAGTTAATATCCTTAACAAAGCGAATGTCATTTGAAAGCTGCTGTATCTACATCTGACTCACCGCCTTCAGAGCGACTACCCAGACATCTCAAGCATTACAAGCAAGCTTCCCCTTGCTTAAACGGGATGAGCGACCTTAGCCGTCAAAAGGCCCCTGATGTTCCCAACGAAGAAGCTCAAGATGAAGCAAGCACCGCCAAAAGCGATCGAGATCCAGTATGGCCACCTGTATGCCAACGCGAAAGCTTCTTGGGAAGCACGCAGGACAACAGGGAATGCATCTCTCTGCAGCACTTCCTGGTTGGTGGCAAAGATCTCCTTGACTTCTTCGAACCTAGCGTTACCCATGAGGTTGGTAACGAGGGTGATGACGGCGATTCCGTCGGCCGACAGAGGGTTGATGATGGCGCCATACGCTAATGTCTTCTCCGCGACAATTTCAGTGAGGTGGATGGTGACCTTGCGGAAGAAGAGGTTGGAGTAGACTGCGAAACCAATCGCACCACCGAGGTAGCGTATACTGAGTGTGATGGCTGTAATGGTTGCGATTTGTTCGTCCGGACAGGCGATCTGCGCGATGATGGAGGAAGGAATAATGACCCCGCCAACTCCAATGGATGCTAGTGAGATGAGGGCGTACACTACGTTCAGGTTGTCGGGTGTCGCAATGCACATGGCCCCTGTGCCGGCTGTCATCATGGCTGTGAAGAAGATCATCAATTCGCGGATGCGACCCTTGGTGGCGGGGATGAGGACGAGGCAGATGCATGCACCGCCAATGATGCCGAAGCCGATGGGAAGAGAGCGGATTCCGACGCCAACCGGGTCATCACCTAGACTTATATTAGTATGGAAGTAGTGGGGAAAATATTCGTAGGTCATGCTTACCGTAGACGTTGTAGATTTGAGTAGGCCAGAAGAGCAGCAGGACGAAGTAGTTGCCACCACTGAGGAATGTGATGAGAAGGATAACTATCATGGTCTGCTTCGCTTTGTGGAAGATTGCTCTGGGAACCATGGGGTGTGGAGCATACACCTCCCATACGAAGAAGGCAATGATGAGTATGATACCGAGAACGAGAGGGACGATGTTGTGTGGGCTGCCCCATTCATACTGTAGAGTGTCAGCACTGCGATGTAATCTGCTTCGGATGGTAAACTGACCTGTGATGCACCCCATTGTAGACCCATCATGAAAAGAGTGATACCACATGTGCTCAGGATGCCACCAATGTAGTCGACCTGGCGGAGGACATGGCGGGCGGTGTACTCTTCCGTCAAGCGCGACGGGTCCTTGTAGCAGAAGACACAAAGTACCAAACCGATGAAGTTCCATACACAAACCAAAATACCATTGTAGCGCCAGTTGCTCTGTTGAGCGATCAATTGAGCCCACAACACTGATGGACAGAAGGGAAGGATGGTGATCACGACAAGACCGACGTACTTGCCGCGATCCTTGATGGGCACGATCTCTGCTGTGCCGGCGAGTGCGATGAGCTCATTGAGACCGGCACCAATTCCGGAAAAGACCTGACCGGCTAC